AAAAAAAAAGTTCAAGAGCTCAATTGGCATGAGAGTCATAGTTTGAGGGTCATATGTTTATATCTTTGTGTCACGTGGCACGCTTCGCCACTTTTGGTTAGAAAATCTAATGGACGCAGACAAAAAAAAGGCTCAATTGACACAATTAGATAGTTTAAAAGCTCAATTAACATAAAAAAAATTTTAAAATTTAATTAACAAAAATGTCATAGTTTAAGAGTTATATGTATAGAATACCCACAAAAAGTAATTGCAAAAACAAAAAGAGTAAAATAGATTTTTGGTCCCAAATTATGCATTTTGTGTTAGTTAGGCCCCAACTCTTTTAATTGTGTCAATTTGATCTTTCAACTTCTCAATTTATGTCACTTTAGTCTAATAAAAAACGACAGTTGGAATTACTAATGGAGATCGTCACGTGCATCTTACGTGATCACACTTGACGTGCATTCTTTGAAAACTTTAGGAACTAGAGTGAGACAAACTTTAAATTTAAAGGACCAAAATGATACAAGTTATAAATTTAAGGAGCCAAAGTCACCCAACAAGTGTGGTACTTGAACTGTTGAACATCTCTGTTAGTCAATTCAATTGATTATTGTTGATTAGACCAAAGTGACACAATTGAGAAGTTGATAGACCAAATGGATGCAATTAAAAGATTGAAGATTAAACGAACGCAAAGTATATAGTTTGAAGAGTAAAAATGTATTTTACCAAAAAAAAAAAATAATTAAGGAGAAAGAAAATTCTTAGAAATCCCACGAAAAGTCATTTTTGTAAGAGCAATATTACATGGACTTAAAAAGTAAATTTGATAATTGCAACCATTGATTTCACTATGAGTCATAGTATTTATTGAGACCTACTACCTATTTAACAATTGTGATTATCAAGTTTAATTTTTAAATTTATGTAGTATTTTCCTTTTTTTGAAAAGCTATCCTCCCACCTAGCTTCCTTATAATGAACTTTCCAAAGTTTAGTTCTCCTTGAATCTTTGGTTGGAGAATGGACATTTGAGTTCCAAAAGTCCATACGACTAATAAGTCTACCAAACATAGTTTAAACCAATTTCTCTGCATTTTCCATTCAAGAAAATTGTCTTCTCCTTAATTCCCACCCCACCTTTTAATTACCTATTGATGATACCTATTGATGATGCACAATCAACAGTCGAGTGTACAATTCTAAGTAATTAATGAAGTAATCAATAAAGCAATTAACAATAGAAAGGTAAAGATTAGGTCAACACATATAAGTGTAGTGGTTCGGTCAAAATAATCTACTCCATTTCTGAAGACGACAACGGTAGCTAGAGACTTTTATTAATAAAGTAAGATGAGAGAGAGAACAGTGGTAAACACTAAGAGAGGTTGGACAGTTATGAGAGAGATAGCTTTGTTGAGGGTGTGTAGGGAGATGCCTCTCTTATGGAGATGACTTACAAGTTATAGGCACAAAACCTTGGTTGTCACGATGGCGTGAAGGGATAGGTGATTAGTCCTTCGGGGAGAATAGCTACAGCTACGAATATGTATAATTAAAGATAGTCTCGATCTTCGAATAATTTTCTCATCAATTCACCTAGTTTATCAAAATTTACAAATCATACATCAAATTTCCCATGACATAGTGAATCCTCCATTATCTAGAGATTGTCACGAAGTGTCTAAATAAAGAATAACCAATATAAGGATTTTAAGTTATTGTTAGATGTTTCTAAAACTTTTCTTTCATGGTCTAATTTCAACTGCATAAAAAATGGAAAAAAAAACTTATAAGCAACAAACACAAGATTCATTCAAGCCCATATATTCCAACTCTAATTAAAATAAAAGTTAAAGAACATATCTCATTAAGCGAGATAGGAAAACCAATTATGTGAAGGATTCACTCATAATTTGTTACTCAAAAATAAAGAATCAAACAAAGAAAAGAAAACCCACCCCAAAATCTATAAAACTAAATAGTGATAATTTTTCCGATTAGCTTTGCATGATTGCTTAGAATATCCAGGTGTTAGTGTTTGACACTTAAAAAGTCTAAGACAACACTATGTTATCTTTAGGTTGTACATTTGGAGTTATTTGTAACTATTAATCACTAAAATAATATAATAAAATAACATAACTTCCAACATGATTTTATAAAAAAAAAAGATATGGTATCAAAAATTTATTTATCGATATATGATTTTAACCAGAAAGTATATCTCCAGGTGGAACATCTCCAGCTGATATACCCACACTTCATTTAAGCTTTTAGTAGCAATTATTGCAGAGCAGACTTCTTGATGATAGGTCTTTTAATGGTTTGGTCAAAAGATTGATCAAGGTTTCCATGGCTGGAAAACTGATGAAGAAAACGACACTATATAAGAGAAAAATTATGTGCCCTTTTAGTGCCCTCAATGAAAAACTTCAGTCAATATTTGCACGAAATAAAGCGAATTTATTGTAGCTAAAAAAACTTATTTTTGTTGAATTCTTGAATGGTAAAAAAATATAAACACAAGTATTAATAGTACAGATATAGGAAATGATTCCACTTCCAATAGTAGACTACTGTAAATTAATATTTATTGTTAGAATTTCTAAGGTCTAACAATTTATTATTTATTGTCTTTCTAATTGCTAGTTCCATTATAGCATGAAGGATGAGGATAGCAAAGATGACTTTTTAAGATTGTTTAAGGGTAAAAATGGTAATCAAAAGTTTTTCATCTAAGGTACTTTTATTAGTAGTATAGATTTGTTAGTAGTACGGTTATATACAATTTTTTGGATTTATATGAAAAAGTAAAATCTTATATATATTAAATTATTATCTATCTATATCTCTATATATCTATATCTATATCTATATTTATATTTATATTTATACTACTTATAAATGTCAATATTTGCGAAAAAATTTTGATTTTCTATTTTATCCCTAATTATTATAATAAATTTAATTATACCCATCTATATATTTTTCATCTAATTTTTATTTTTTATTTCTATTTGACTTTCAATTTATTTTGGACTATTTTGTAAGAACTTCTAAATTATTTTAAACTCATTTATTAGTAGTACACTTACAGACAATTTTTTGGATTCATATGAAAAAGTAAAATCTTATATATGTTAAATTATTATACACATGGAGTTACCAAATTAAATTTCACCATCAAATATTGACTCAAATTTAAGTAAATAATTAAGTCAAATTTGGAGATTGATTATCCATCAAATGTGTTAGACTCTATTTTATAGTTATTTAATTTATTTTTATAGGTAATCTACTTAATTTAAAATAATAATAGGTAAGACAAATAAAACAAACTCTAGAATAATGATCAATTTGATAAAACTTGAATGGTTGAAGATAAAATATCAATTTAATCGTTATAAGAGTACAAGTTAGTATAAAACCTATTCAGATTTGGATTAAGAAAGTATTTTAACAGATAAAGGTGTGACATGTCTTCATCATTTTAGTCATAACTTGTTACTTTGATATCCTATTGACCTAATTTTTACGGGGTTGAAAATAAAATTTCAAAAGCCAAAAAAATGTATTTCATGAAAAATTTATGAATCAATCTCTAACTATGCCAAAAATTGAGCTTGAATTTTGTATAGATGCGGTACCACAAGATTTTTTGCACAAGTTTTGACCTAAATTTACTCTCCTTTTTTTTTTTGCAATGATTTATTTCAAGGGCAACCTTATCCCCCCTAATATAAATATTTAAGATGGGATAATTTTAGATCCTATCTTCTACATATTTCTTTATTTTTTATTTTTTATATCCATGGATTGTTAATTCTCCCATTAAAGATAAGGGAAATACTTTCAATAAAGCACGATATTTTATTTTGTATCTAATGTTCTTTTAATGTATAATTTATTAAGTTAATTTAATTATTATCTTTTAATATAGTTTTTATTTTATATAATTTATTAATTCGTCATGCCACGTATAACGAGTTAAACAATTGGTTTTCTATGTTTCAATTAATTAATTAAAATTTTTATAAAATAGTTGACTTTTTATTTGTAATAAAATTAGAGTTTACATGTTGAAAAGTTTGATTTGTCGCAGATTCTTGACACGATAAATGATTGTGATCTACAAATAAATTCATATATTTATTTAGATAATTCTTCAATTATACCTTTTATGTTTTTAATATTATTACCGTTAAATATTTCGATTAAGATGATTTACACGAATTAATTTATTTTTTTTGGTTTTAAAAATGGTCTAAAGATGCCTAATTTTTGTTTCCTATAAAAAAAATAAAATAAAATAAAATCATACTTAAATCAAAGTGAACATGCACTCCTACCGTACGCCACCATCTGGAGGTAGGGGTGCGGAGTACGCACATACCCCAACAAGCCTCTGAGCTTCCAATAAAAACTTTCGCGCGACGTACGGAAGCTTCGTTCTCTCCATGCTCTTTTTGTTCTTCTGCTAAATCTCTCTCTCTCTAGGACTTCAATTTCTCAGGAACTATTCCAAGATGCCTCGCACCTCATCCAGGAAAGGCTCCACTAATTCAGCGTCGTCCAACAATTCATCGGCGGTGGATCTATTTCGCTCAGGTAATATCGATTATATCATCAGCTGTGTTTGGATTTGATTTGGCTGAAAATAATACGAAATTCAGTTATGTTATGGCGATGAGTGATCTTTTTTGTCATGTACTGATCCATGTTTTGAACGTACTTGATTTGGCTTAATTTAAAAGTCAGTTTTTTTTTTTTTTGGGAATTATTGTTGAGTGTGTATACGAAATTCAGTTGGTTTGTGATTTTATATGGTTCCAAAGTGGCCTGAAGATTGAGCGAAACAGCTAATCAGTAATTCACTTATGTATGTAAGTACTGATCCATGTTGTTGAAGTTACTTGATTTTGTTTAATTTAGAAGTTTGATTTTTTTTGGAATTAGTTTTGTGTGGGGACCGTTTAGTTTGTGATTTTATTTGGTCTCCAAAGTGGCCTGGAGATAGTGCGAAACAGCTATATATATGTGATGTGTGTATAAGTACACCTTTTACTGAAGTAAAGGAGGTTTACACCAATGAAGGGAATTGGACAGTAATCAGCGTGTCATCATGATCTGACTAGTTTGTTGCAGCACCAGTTTTAATTACAAAACTCCTAGACCTACCATCCCAAGAAGCTCGTCTAAATTATATATTTGCCGAAGAATCATGTTTTCTGTATAACTGGCGCTTTCCTATCTTCAAATAATTCTGGGATTGATTGATGTGTTGATCTGCCATGTTTATCTCATATGAATTCTCTGGACTTTGGTCATAAATAAAAAGTCTAATCTAGACACAATTAGTTATATATCTCCTTTCTTTCAGCCCACTACTCTAATAATTATACTTCCTTTTCCTCTTCACATCTAATAATAAAACTAATAGGAAGAAAGCCATCCATACTATATAATTTACATAGTATATTGCAATATGTGGGTGCCACAAGTTCTAGTATAATGAAACCTTCGAATAGTGGAAGAGAGTTAGCAGGGAAGAAGTTTTGTGCATGAGAGATTTGTGATGGAAATTATATTCCCATCACTTGCTCCTTTTCTTTAAATGTGAAAGATCATTCATTCATCCCATCGCACGCTCCTTAAACAAACCAACCATCTACCTCCATAACTCGCACTCTCTGTCACTACTTTACCAACCTGGATATTAGACTGTGAAGCACCACATTCCCATGCACATGCATCTGGGTGTGTCTCGAATTGTTTGTCCAGACCTCCATCCCAAAGGGACAAAGGCCTCCCATTTCTCTCTCTAAAATTTGCATCTACAAAGCTTCCAAGTGATGAACGAAGCTTCGTTTGCTCGAGACGTTTTTCATCAGATTACTTCTCTCTCTTACGTCGTCTCTACAATTCTTCAATTGCCTCACAATTGAGGAAAGGCCCAACAAATGCAGATGCATTGGAAAATTATTCCGTTGTTGTTACCTTTGTTGCTTGTCTGCTTTGGTGTCTTGTGGTTTTGGAAATTTTGAGTTAGGAAAACTACAGGCAGAAACTGTTACTTCAAAAAAGATATGCATGAATTATATGTATCTAAAAGGAAGTTTCGTCTTGCTTAGGCCATCTTCCATCTTGGGAATCATGTTAAGTTTTTATATTTTTTAAGATTATTCTTATGAATCATGCCATATTCATATTCTTATGAATTACATATATTACTTGAGTATTTGATATCTACATTTTAATTTTTTCTAAGGCTTAATGTCATGTGCGTGATTCATTTTGCATTTGCAACCATTACCTCTTTATATGTTGTATAAGCTGCGGTTGAATTCTCACCATGTTTCCTCACTGTTAATATAAATATATTTGCTTCAGCTACAGGTAAAGCTGCAAGCAAAGAGTTGGAACGAATTGATCAACTATTTTATTCGTACGTGAATAATTCGTTTGGTATGATTGAGTAAGTATTCTCCATATAGTTTTGTGATCCCATTTATGGCAATGGCATCTGCATTTTATTCTGTTTGAAATTCTGTTAGTTTGTTCCAAATTCGGATGCATCATAGCTACATTATATTGCTTTATGTTTTGTGGTCATGTATATGTGGGGTTGTTGTTAAGGGTGAACCCCCTGAGTGCATTAAATTTTTAGGTTGACATGTGAATTGGTTTAATTGGAATATATTCAAGTGAGGCATGGGCTTTCTCGTTTTATGGTGTTTGGGAGGATAAAGAGCATCATTCGACATCTATTAAACAACACCAAGAACAAAGCCTACCATGCCCTCGGGAGAAAGTAGCCATGAATGCTGCCCTCGAGAACGTGTACAAGAAGGTCTTTGTCGTTTCCTATCAACATGGTGCACCTCATAGTACAGGGGCATGAAAAGATCGTGGAGACTTTGACCGAATGAATAGGAATCAATTGATAGACCTTTTGATTGAGAAAGAGAATCCAGGATGAACGCGAGGAAGACAATGTTTGACCGTTGATGAACTCAACTATGGAACATATGTTGTTCTGTCGTAATTTGGAGCTGGGGATCCCATGTGGAGTGTGTGGATAGAGGCTAACCCTTTCAAAGGGAATCAAATGTTCCTTTGAGTTTCCCTTAGAAGTTTAAGTGAAATAATCTCTAAACAAGGGTCTGATATTGAAAATCTCCTTGCATATGTTATTGATTTATGGAAAGCCATGCGAAGTTGCAGAGCAGATATAGTTGTGTCTTTATTTGTTATGACTTGTAGTAGATAACACGACATCTTTATTTTACCTTCCTGGGGTTCAATTGTCACCCTCTGCAAGTTCAGCCCTTGGAACTGCAATTTTTAAGTCATTTCTTAAGAATTGAAGAGTGCTGCTTCACGTTCAATATAAATTCCTTGGATATGCAGTACAAAATTGTGATTTGCTGTGGCAATCATTCAAATATTTATTTTCTCTCGTCTTAGTTTTCTGTGATTATATTGTGTACAATACTTTCTTATCTTGTTGGCTGGATTATTCTTTAATTTGGTTGTACACTTGCAGATCAGAAACTCTTCCAGCGATTTCATTTGTTAACGAAAATTTTCTTCTTCTTTTTTTCATTCAATTCAAGAACAAGAAGTTTGAACCCCCCTCTAATTTTTTTGTTTTTTTTACCCTTTACATTACTGATTTTTGGTTGCACCTGTCTAATGTTGCAATATTTTCGTGAGTAGCCCTGAAGGAATTGAGGCTTTTTGTTCAGATTTGGAAGTGGATCATACTAATGTACAAATACTGATGCTTGCTTGGTGAGTGGCATTATAGTCATCATCTTCTTCAGTTTCTGATTTATGGCCTTAAATTCAGTACTGATGGACCTTGGATTTTAGGAAAATGCAAGCTGAAAAGCAAGGATACTTTACCATTGTAAGTAATCCAATTCTTATCCATACAATGGATATTGGCTTCAATAATCCTATTAATTAAAACTTCTCTCTGTTGCTACTTTCTCATATGTTCTTAAATATGATAGCTTGTATTCTTCACTTATACCGATTCACTAGCCGAAACCTTAATGGTAAGGTCTATAAGCTTGCAAACATTGTAGCATCCCTTATTCTATTAATCCTTGGATCGATAAACCTTCATCTTTTGTTCGTTCAGTTATTATGGACATTTCTCCTGCAACCATATTGTAAATGCATCTGTCTTGTATCGTGGAGGCCCTAGTACTAAACATGTCACAGCATGGACTTGTGTATGAAATATGTGGCCAACATGCCTGCTGTTGTACATATCTATGAACTTGCTAAGAAACTTCATTTTACACTAGACCTTGGTCAATGCATATCATTTTTTATGTGTACTTTTATTTTCTTGTTTTGTTTTCTACTTCTTAAACACATTCATCCTTTAGATGACTCCACCAATATAATGTATAATAGGAGGAGTGGCGAAGAGGCCTTAAAGCACTTCGGGCTGATACAATAATCAAATTAAAGAAGGCACTTCCAGAGCTTGAGAAGGAGGTACTCTTTTTTAACCAGTGGATCATGATAGGTTCTGATGATATGTGTATTGGATGCTTTGTGGTGGGGGAAAGATAATTTTGGAGTGCTAATTCTGCCATCGTATTTTCCCCCTTTCCTTTTTTTCCCTCTTGTATTTTTCTTTCTCTCAAAAGGTTAGGAGGCCATCAAATTTTCTGGATTTCTATTCCTATGCCTTTCGATATTGTCTAACAGGTTTGGCGATTTCTTGTTTGTTCATGTCTAATGTTGGCAAACTTCAAATTTATTCCTGTTTGTGCTGCTAGCCAGCTTTTATTATTTGTTTTTTCTTTTCTAGAGGAGAAGCAGAAGAGCATCGACATAGAGAGCATCTGCCAGTTGCTGGACCTTGTTTTAGGGTCCCAATTTCATTCCCAGGTTGACTTATTTGTACAGTACATAAGGGTAAGCAGCTAGAGTTTTCTCTTGCTCTAATGTAATACAGTTGCTTATGTTCTGATACTCAATTGTCCAAGTGAATATATCAGCATTTTCCTTGTATTCACGAGGAAATGATATTGCCCAACAACGCTGTAAATGTCATAAGAATTGCACCACTCACCATTGTTGTACCGCTGAACTCTTGCCATCTTACTTCTTTCAAAGTGAAAATATTTGTGAAACTCAGCTGTTACGCGTTACAGTAGAAAGATGGTGGGGTCCCGCATACAGAGTTGCAATATTATGTGATTTTTAAGAAAAAAGAGATAATAACACTGATAATCAAATAGAAGATTACAATAAGCACCCCAAAAAAAAAAGATTATAATAATAAAAATTCTTGTCCAAATGTTTGTGCTCTTGCTGCAGACACAGGTTGATTACAAAGTCATAAACATGGATCAGTGGATGGGATTCTATCGGTTTTGCAATGAGGTAACGTATAGTTATTTTAAAGAATCTATGGCATCTTTTATATATCTGCGATAACTTATGCACATGATTTTTCTGCCATTTTGATGCTGATAATTTGTTTTCACTTTCTTTCACACTTTTTACCCATGTTCGAAATCTCGTGCCTCTTATTTTACACTTCTAACCGCTTTCCAGATTTTATGTGATTGATAACAATGAGCTACAGGTGTTCTCTGACACCGACAATTTTTATGCAGATAAGCTTCCCGGATTTTAGCAATTATGATCCTGAACTTGCTTGGCCCTTGATCCTGGACAATTTTGTTGAATGGATGAGAGCAAAGAGGAGTTAAACGTAGTAACGTTTGCTACACTTGGATTCCTGCCTTATAAGTTAATCTATATGCAAGTAGGAACTTGTTTTCCCCATTTGAGGTTTTTTTAAAAGTCTAAATACTTTTTTCCTCTGTGATTTGGCCCAATAACAAATCACCTCCATATAACCTACAAGTCACCCCCTTGGGTTTTGGGACCAAAGTGAAACTGTTAGTATTTCCATCCATGTTGATGGAGAATTGTGCATCACACGCCAAAAATCCGATATTGGCTTGACAAGAAATTTTTTCCGAAATTAAATCTTTAATTATCAGAAATATGCATTTAATCAAAGAACAAATCCATTCGGTCCATCCCAATGTTCCACTGGTTCAGAAATTGGGAGAAAGAGGAGGAGGANACTTCAAATTTATTCCTGTTTGTGCTGCTAGCCAGCTTTTATTATTTGTTTTTTCTTTTCTAGAGGAGAAGCAGAAGAGCATCGACATAGAGAGCATCTGCCAGTTGCTGGACCTTGTTTTAGGGTCCCAATTTCATTCCCAGGTTGACTTATTTGTACAGTACATAAGGGTAAGCAGCTAGAGTTTTCTCTTGCTCTAATGTAATACAGTTGCTTATGTTCTGATACTCAATTGTCCAAGTGAATATATCAGCATTTTCCTTGTATTCACGAGGAAATGATATTGCCCAACAACGCTGTAAATGTCATAAGAATTGCACCACTCACCATTGTTGTACCGCTGAACTCTTGCCATCTTACTTCTTTCAAAGTGAAAATATTTGTGAAACTCAGCTGTTACGCGTTACAGTAGAAAGATGGTGGGGTCCCGCATACAGAGTTGCAATATTATGTGATTTTTAAGAAAAAAGAGATAATAACACTGATAATCAAATAGAAGATTACAATAAGCACCCCAAAAAAAAAAGATTATAATAATAAAAATTCTTGTCCAAATGTTTGTGCTCTTGCTGCAGACACAGGTTGATTACAAAGTCATAAACATGGATCAGTGGATGGGATTCTATCGGTTTTGCAATGAGGTAACGTATAGTTATTTTAAAGAATCTATGGCATCTTTTATATATCTGCGATAACTTATGCACATGATTTTTCTGCCATTTTGATGCTGATAATTTGTTTTCACTTTCTTTCACACTTTTTAACCATGTTCGAAATCTCGTGCCTCTTATTTTACACTTCTAACCGCTTTCCAGATTTTATGTGATTGATAACAATGAGCTACAGGTGTTCTCTGACACCGACAATTTTTATGCAGATAAGCTTCCCGGATTTTAGCAATTATGATCCTGAACTTGCTTGGCCCTTGATCCTGGACAATTTTGTTGAATGGATGAGAGCAAAGAGGAGTTAAACGTAGTAACGTTTGCTACACTTGGATTCCTGCCTTATAAGTTAATCTATATGCAAGTAGGAACTTGTTTTCCCCATTTGAGGTTTTTTTAAAAGTCTAAATACTTTTTTCCTCTGTGATTTGGCCCAATAACAAATCACCTCCATATAACCTACAAGTCACCCCCTTGGGTTTTGGGACCAAAGTGAAACTGTTAGTATATCCATCCATGTTGATGGAGAATTGTGCATCACACGCCAAAAATCCGATATTGGCTTGACAAGAAATTTTTTCCGAAGTTAAATATTTAATTATCAGAAATACGCATTTAATCAAAGAACAAATCTATTCGGTCCATCCCAATGTTCCACTGGTTCAGAAATTGGGAGAAAGAGGAGGAGGAGGAAGAAGAGAACAAGGCTCTGCCATGGAAGATATCAGAAGCTAGTCATTGACAGTTGGTTGTCAGTTTTCTACCCGTACAATTTCACAAATATGAAAAACTAACTCACACAATACGTAGGAAAGTTGGAGGAAATCTAGTACATCCATGTGTATCTGATAGGGAACACTATTTCACAAACATGATCAATGGCAGATTCGTTTTGCACAGTAATAAAACATAACAATTTTGGGATGGATGCATTCCTTTAGGTACTGGTTCTTGCACGGCAGTTGTGATCTGGACCTTCTCCCCCCTCCCTCCTTCTTTCTTTCACCGATCTCTCTGCCTTTTTGTTAATGGAGTTATGGTTTTTTGCTTTGGTCCATAACTTCGAGTTATGTGTAGGTTTTTCACAAACAAGGCAATACGTTACTCTGTAAAATCACATGGAGGGAAAAAGTATTTGACCCTTTTTTAAATTACTTCTTCTGATGCTTTTTCTATAATTTCATCGTGTTACATATGCTTGCAGGACTCTGTTGAAACAACACATCAAAACTCTCTGGCATCATCTGGCTTTGCTTTTTTTGTTATTTATTTTTTCTTGTTCATTTTGGTACTGAAAATGCTGTTCTTATTTTTACTTCTGTAGAAGAAGGGGAAATTACAAAGTTCAAAGGGTGGTTGTTCTTTCCAATACTTTAATCTGTTGCTGGAGCCCCATCACTCCTTCTACTTCTATGTGACAGTGACACTTATTTCAATTCATTTACTTGCCATTGATAATGCTTCTCTCATTACTATTTTCGTTTGGCCCCCATTGTTACCCCAAGGAATATTTACGAAATATTATAATGGTGGTCGAATGATGCTACTTTTAATTGATTATGTTGTGGGTCCGCTGTCTTGTATTGTTTGAACTTTCAGGGTTTTTACCCCTCTTTTTACGGAAGTAAATAGTTGGGAAAGATGAGGGGAAACCAGGTATAGATGGAAAGGTGGTCTTAAAAAGGCAGGATCTATGAAACTTCACCATCGATGATCTAAGCAAATGATACCGGTGGGGAGTGCATATGGATTTAGATTATATGCGTTATACTTTTATTCAATTTCATATATTGATATGTTACTAGATTCTAGTTGATTAATTATTTAAAAGTGGGTTTTTACTAGCCCTGTTAATTGTGTCGAGTAAAACAGGTTTGTTTCAGGTGTTAACGAGTTTGTATCAAAAAGTATTGTATTCATATCTGATTCGTTTATTAATTTGTGTTTAACGAGTCGTGTCATATTGAGTTTGTGTCATGTATCAATCGTGTATAATCAGTGTATAAATGAGTTATATTTTGTATTTATTTTAGTTGACTTTACTGTATTTGATTTGTTTATTAGCCAGGTTGGGTTGGATTGAATTGAAGAATTAAATTCTCTAATTTTTTGTCGTGTAAACGAATCGTATCATATTTTGACACCTCTAATTTTTAAAATTATATGGGGAAGAGAATGTTAATAGTGGACATATAGAATCTCACCGGCCACATCTCCATGATGGAATCTTTTTAACCACTTCCTCAATTTTCATCAAATGTTCTATATTGGAGGCAATTTTTTTTTCTTTCTTTAAGAAAAGGAGGAGATGGGGGAGAAATCAATTTTGTGGCAGTGACAGCAAAGAGAGTTAGGAGGGACAAAGAATTCAAAGGTTGGTAACACAAAAGTACTTTCTTGATGCAAAGCTGTGGGCAGACTTTTCACTTTATAATATAAAGCACATATTCTCCACAACACCATCACGTTCTTGCAACCAAGCTAATATTTGGTATCTTTTTTCAATAATGTTGACATATGATTATCTTCCAAGTCAAGGGTCAGTTAAGTTGGAACAGGTAGCCCTAATCGGGTCGTGGACCGGGAACTTCACAATACTTTCCCTATCATGTCAGAATGGGGTATAAATCCTCACTTGGCAGATCACGCACCACTTGAATTCATGGTAGCTGATCTATTAAGACGAATAATAAAGAGAAAATACATTACAGGGGATTTTACTTGTTCTTACACTACATGTTTACTCGGGTTGTAGGCGATTCGTACCACGACTATCATGTTCTTTCTTTCTTTGTTCATCTAAAAAATTTGAAAGATCATAGTCACTTAACCCAAAAAAATAGAGATCATAGTCTTATTTGGACTATGGTTTTCAATTGCAATTTCTCTTAGGGTATGTTTTGACCACCAGAAATGTAAGTTTCACAATAATGTAAAATGCATCTTCATCTCTGTGGATTGAACGCCAGCCCCATGCACAAGATGTTGCAATCTCAAGAAGCTGTTAGCATTATAGGATCACAAGAAAATAATCAATGATGGCAAAAAAAAAAAAAAAGGCCTAGATTTCGAGAAAATAGTTTTTGTTAGGACTTCTAGGCTGAAGAAGAAGAACCATGAATCAAAGGTGAAGATGGATGTGGTGGTGAGCTTCTGCTTCTACTACTCGTGGTGGTGATCGGAGGAGAAGACGCCGAGGAAGACGATGAATTGGAAGATGAAGTGTTGTGTCTATTTGATCGGCTTCTGAGTTTCTTCTTATCTCCTTCACAGACCTTATCTTCAATTCTATGGTGCTGAAGTTTAGTTGAACTTAAGCTTGCTGGGATGATACAGTTGCAGAATAAACCTACATTTCATTAAAAATAAACAAATTATGACAAAATCATAAAAATAAAACCCTATTCAAATTTCAGGTTTATATAGTGCCCCAAATTTATTTATTTATTTTTGGGTATCTAGAGTTTCATCTTTGGGTGGTGGGTGTGGGATCGAGCCACACCCTAGTACTATCATCGTTGAACCCACGAGTTACCCAGAGGGGCAAGGGGCAAGAGAGCTGCAACCGATTCTGCCGTTATACATTGCAGTTGTCATTGTCTGCTCTTTTCTTTCTTCTTGGCATGGCTAGCTCTGTAGAATTTCTTGTTAACGACTTGTGATAGAGCCACACCCAACTTCATACACTCCTCTTTGGATTGTAAATATAATAAATTTTAAGTTTTTAGGATTGACAATGTTAAACAGTTTAAAAGGTTGTAACTGCCATGGAAAATCATTACCTTAATGTACAAATTAGCCCTTACCAATTCTGGCGAGTCTATTAACCCAACTTGGGATTGGATTGCCAGTGAGTCTAACACAAGCATCATTGCAGAAGTGATTGCAGTTCTTTGTAATGAGATTATATGCATTTCCTTTGTACTTTTCTGCAAGCTTCTCCATCACTTCTCTCACCTCCCCAGGAGTCATCTCCGTCCATCCGATCAAAATCGCCTTCCGAAACGTAAACCCATCGCAATGTTTCGGTTCTGCTTCGAAAATCCCCGTCGTTGGGTACTCATGAGCTCCAAAAGCATACTCCACCCCATGAACTGCCACACCAAAGTTGATCAAATTCAAATTCAAATTCAAGTTTTCAAATCTGTCAGATCACATGATTACTTACTGGGTATTTTTTGAAGTATAGATCTCATTTGAATTGGATACAAACAATAAGGTACAGTGAGAATCACAATTTGAATTCAATATGAAGGAGTTTCAGGGAAAATGAAGGTTTGAGTTCTGACCTTGAACACCAGAATGATAGACACCAAGGCCAACCCAGTAAGCATACCCATTAATGGAGGTAAGATCATACACATTAAGGTGCACTGGCACCGATCCTCTCTGACTTCTTGTTGAATTCTTTCTGCAAAACATTTTGAACCAATGAAACAACTACTCCTTCTCTTCAATACAGACCCTTCAACATATAGTGATTCTAAAAGAATTAGAGAACATGGGTAAACAAGAAATCAACTACCAACTACCCAGTTGGGTGGTAGAAGGAGGAGGAGAGAGAAAAAAGAAAAATTGGGCTGCAATTGAGTATGTGGGGTGGCACAACCGGCGGCGAATCAGTGCCGCACCGTCTACTTTTGGCGGACCATAGTGCTTATATAAATGACCCCAAAGGTTTTGCTGGAACAGTAATATTAGATGGATCAAATTTTGAGATCAAATTTAGAGACTAAATGATATGACAGTTGATATGAATTTTTTTGATTGGTGTCATGTCATTTACGGCCCAATAAAAACTTCAAATAATCAATTGCCATATTATTTGGACTCTAAATTTAATCTCAAAATTTGACTAATGCAGCGTTACTCTTGCTGGAATTGGTGGAAACTCTGTGGTTGGTTGGAGAATGAGCTGTGTGATCCAATAATTTTAAAATTTTGAATTTTTTTGGGAGAAAGTAACGTACACTCATAATGACATGCAGTGGGAGTATGCAATATATGGGCATAAATATGATTATCGGAGTAATGGATTTGATTATATTATGATAAGGTGACCAGTGATTTATGTTTTGGGAAAAGAGAGAGGGAATATAAGAGTAATGCTAGATGAACTTAAAAATTAGACTCGATAATCTCAACCATTGAATAGGTAATTGATCATAATAAATGCTGTGATCCACAATGAAATCAATGGTTGTAATTATCAAATCTAATTTTTAAGTTTATGTAGCATTGCTTGGAATATAATGATACAATGTTCAATTGAAATGTTGCCGATGTGCCGTGTTATTTATAAATCATGTACATCTTGAGAATCATAACTTAGATGCTTAAGCTCGTCACAATCGAGTTAGCAGGAGGGGTGATAATCGTTTCGTGGTTGTATCGGGTCACTTTTAAAATTGTGTTGAGGATTAATTAATTTTAATTTAACCCATTCAATTAATCATGTCGAGCGAGTCAACCTATTTATTTTGAATAATACTATTTAAATTTAAAATTTTGATTTAATTTGTTGACATAATGATGTGATTTCAATAGAACTATTGGATCAACACCAACACCAAGTTTCAATATTTGACAGCTTTCACAGTCAATCCAAAAGTCATAATGAATTAAATAAGTAGATTAAGTCTTTATAGCATTGCTCATTTATTTTTGTACCATATTTGTGTTAACTTATATAACTAGTGAATAAAAAATTTAATGTTCAGATTTAATTAAGTCTAAAATTTAATTGTCATTTAATTGAACTTATGTTCATATTTTTTCTATAAACTAAAAATTAATTTAATAAATATAATATTAAAAATGTGTTTTTTTGTATAATAATTATGTCACTACTTAATAAAATATAATAAAAATTAATATTTTATTCTTATAATACTAATTAAATGTGTAAATTGTGTTAATTTCGTATTATTCGTATTTTAAAACTAATTTAATCTATTTATTATTCATATTAATCGTCATGTCAATTACAGATTAGTGTTTAGAAATTACCAATTCTAATCTATTAATTTTATATTAATTTTAAGCTATGTTATTATGTCGTATCAAAAATTATAAACCCTAAAGTAGGGGTAAAGGAATTACTGTTTATATATATATTGGGAATAAAAAATGGGGGAGAGGGCCTTCTATCAAAGGAAATAGTAGGCAACGGGTCAAGTCAGGCCCTCTTGGCCCACCAATCAGCACCATAGCACATGCCGTGAGGCGAACAACTAAAGTCGTTAATTAGTCGATGGGCCAGTAAAAATCAGAGTTTTTTAAAAAAAAGTGTATGAATAAATTATTTATTCTATTAAGTTCAATTTTAATAAAATATATTGTGTTTAGGTACAAAATTTAAATGAAATCAAAATTATTTTATTTAAATATTTTTTTTAAATTATACATTCTTGATTGATAGTTATATATCTAATCAAATGTGTAAATATTTTATTAGACTCTCTCATTATCACTCCCTTATTTTCTCTCCATCTATCTCTCTTTCCTTATTACTTTCCCACTAATACTATTGAAACATAATTTTGAGACATTATGAGTTGTTACCAATAAAGTGATAGTAAAATGTATTTAATGATGAGTCTCATTATAGTATTAAATGAATTCAATATCATATTATTGGTGATAACTCATTATGTCCATAAATTATGTCCCAATAGCATTACTCTTACTTTCCTCATCTCTCCCCTATTTTTTCTCTATATTTATTATTGATAATTTATTTTCTTTTCAAATATATAAATATTTGATTTATTTTTTCATCTCTCTCCATTCTCTCTCTCTCTACTCCTATTTTCTCTAACCATTTCTCTTCCTCCCTATTTTCTTTTTATTTCTCTCTATTTATATCAACATTATAACAACACAATTACGCTAATCAATTATACCAATCAGTTACAATTGTCTTGTCATATACCAAACATTTAGTCATACATTATAATAAACCAAACAGTTACACAAATTTATAACACCAACTTAATTTGTCATTCAATTGTTTACACAAACTAAATAGTTGCACCATTTAGTATTGTGACATCGTTACACCAATCACATATATCAAATATAGTATAATGGTAAAATATTTTGTGTAATGATAAACTCAATTTGGTGTATATAATTGGTGTAATTATATCGTAATACTAAATAGTACAACTCTTTAATTTATGTAAATAACTAAATGACAAATTGAGTTGGTGTTATAATTCCGTATAATTGTTTAGTGTAACTGTTTGGTTTATTAGAAGACGTGAGTAACTATTTAGTATATTATATGACAATTGTAGCTAATTGGTGTAACTGATTAGTGTAATTGTATTTTTATAATATTGATATAACGAGAGACAAAAAGGGAGAGAATAAGAAAATAAGGGTAGAGGGAGTGAGAGAGAGAAAAAAAAATAGGGGGAGATAGATGAAAAAATTAAATTAAATCTTTACATATTTAAAAAAATTATTAATATAAGAGAAAGAGAGAGGGAGAAAAATATACAGAGAGAAAATAGGCAAGAGAGAGTGAAAGAGTAATGGAGAGAGAGAAAGAGAGAAAGTAATGGAGTAATAAATACCTTCTGTTTTCAAAAAATGTACTTAGAGTCAAATAAGTTTCTATAATATAATTTAGTTCAAATAAATCTAAATTTTTATACAGCCTTCCAAATTACCCTAAAAATCATGGCCTGCCCTAATGGGCCTTATATAGATATCCATCAGTCTCGTTCTAAGGCGAAAATATTTATTGTAACGGTGATATCATGTCATTATCGATACATGATGTCANTATATAGATATCCATCAGTCTCGTTCTAAGGCGAAAATATTTATTGTAACGGTGATATCATGTCATTATCGATACATGATGTCATCATCTAATTAGAAAATAATAAATAGATAGTGTATCTTCCACTAATCTTATATGTTGTTAATTGGATGCAGTTATTTCTGGTAGTTATAAAAGTAGCAGAGTTCACTTTATTTATTTTTAGTATTTTAATTGAATGGTGACACCATGTGATAGTGATGACGTGGTGTCACCGTTACATTGAATATTACTCTACTCTAATAGACATATTATTTTTTAATTTTTTTACTANTTTATTGTAACGGTGATATCATGTCATTATCGATACATGATGTCATCATCTAATTAGAAAATAATAAATAGATAGTGTATCTTCCACTAATCTTATATGTTGTTAATTGGATGCAGTTATTTCTGGTAGTTATAAAAGTAGCAGAGTTCACTTTATTTATTTTTAGTATTTTAATTGAATGGTGACACCATGTGATAGTGATGACGTGGTGTCACCGTTACATTGAATATTACTCTACTCTAATAGACATATTATTTTTTAATTTTTTTACTATTTATTTATTTTTGAAATTCTAATGCTAATAGGTGCCTGCCCCTCATTTTTTTTGGACAAAAACTCTCATATAGATATTGTATTTATGAAATTATTTAATTACATATAATTTAACAATCTTTTAAAAATATCACAATTATTGTTTTTGGGGACAAAGACTTAATAGAAAGTCCCAAAAAATTAGGTAATTATCGATTTAAGTTGGTGTTATATGTATTTTTTTGACTATAAGGTGTTATATGTATGACTTCGTATTTTGTCAATGACTCCTCTTGAATAAATGCATTTATTTATTTTTTAAATCATTAAATAAAATTTTAAACTAAGCCAAAATAATTGGTTATTTGTGTAGTAGAGTATGTATTGAGTTATAATTTTTAGTTATTTGATGAATTTGCAAAAAAATTATCGACAATTTAATGAAACTAAATTGGTACTTAGTGACACATAAGTGATTCGTTGATAAAATCAAGTTGAAAATTATTATTATTGTTATTTGATAAGTATTTATAATTAATTGGACAAAATTGAATCAATTCTCCCGATTTAATAGAAAATAGATAATATTGTAATGTGTCGTGGTAAAGTCAATTTTGGTATGTTTTACATAACTAAAAACTTAACATTATCGATAACTTATAAAATAATTTCATTAAATATTATTGTTTGACCCCTCTTAATGTTAAATCTTGGTTCTGCCCCTGGGTGGGGGTGTAATTTTGTTATAAATCCAGTTTTTTAAAACCCGGCCCTGACCGGCTGGTTGACCCGATGAACCGGTGCCTAACCCGGTGAAACGGTGCCTAAACCTGATCGGTTCAATAATCAAATCGTTTGTGCATTAAACCCAGAATAAACCCTCTAAACCGGATAAAACACAGTTGAACCGTTCAACCCGGACGAGTTAAACCAAACCGGACGGTTCATTTAGTTTACTATAAATGGATGAGTTTTGGCCCTTTTTTGCATTTTGCCCTAAATCGTCTTCGCCTTTGCTTCTTCGTCTTCGCTCCTGCCTGGTGAACGACAGTCATCTCCAACGTGAGTTCCCAACTCTGCCTCTTCATCTTCGCCTCTGCCTCCTGGAGTCCTCTGCGCCTCTGCCTCTTCGTCTTCGCGACGGTGGACGTTAGCATCACAGCCATCTTCAATGTGAGTCTCTTTCTCTCTGTCACACACACATACAGTCTCTTACTCTCTCATTCTCGCAATCTCAATCTTGATCGAAGTGGAAGAAAAGCCAAAGTGACTCGATCGATCAGAGCTCCATCAAGCATCGACGACTACCAGCAAGTACATACTCTCTGTCTCTCTCTCTCTCTCATCTGTCGTTTCTCTAACTCTATGCAATATCTAGAATATTGAAATATAAATTGAATATTTGATTAATAATGCTATATTTTATACATTGAGAGAAGTTTTGATTTTTTATAATGAACGGGGAAAGATTGTTCTAGCTGCTTCGTTTTTCTATAGTGAATGCTCAAACATGGCTTCTGAGTTTAAGGCATTATATGATGGGTTGCAGTTAATTGGGCAGTGTGGTTTGTCCAGTTATTCTTTTGTGATTGAGGGTGATTCGTTGGTCCTTGTGAATATTGTTTTGGGAATTTGTGAATGCCCATGGCCTTTTTTTGGATATTTTAAGGCAGATCAGGGATATGCTAAAGGGTTTGTAGTTTTGTTTGGTTCATGTTTTTCGTGAAGCAAATACTGTTGCAGATAGATTGGCTAATCAAGCTGTCTTTAGTAGGAGATCTTTCGATTTTTCTGTTGGATTGAGCCTTCCTTATGCAGTGAGGGTGGCTTTGGATTATGATATGAGGGGTTGGCCTGTTCTGAGAAAAAGAAGGGTGGTGATTTTTGATGATAAGGGTTAGCATGGTTTGTGGTGGTGTATTACTCTGGGTTCAGAGTCTGAGACTGGGTTAGAAGTGTTGATTTGTTTGAAATTTAAGAGGGAAAAGAGATGGTATGTCTGAGAGGAATTGTGGTTTGAAGAGGGCTATGTTTTTTGCTGGCTGGAGCTTTATTTCTGGTTAGTCTGGGGGCTGGATTGAAGCGTTGTTTTTTGGTTATTTTGTTTGTTTTGTCTTGATATGGAAAGCCTCTTGTGGTTTTCCTTTTGCTATAAATTTTTTTAATTTTGTTTCAAAAAAAAAACTTAAGTAGATGTATTTTTTTCAAGTTGTATTGGAAATTGAATGTGTTCTCGTTTGGTAACCTTTACGATTTTTAATTTTCTAAAAAACGAAAAGCAGAATCAAAAAATTAAAAACGTCTTTTTCTCGTTTTTGAAAATCGTTGCTTGTTTACAAAATGATTACAGAAAAAAAAAGAAGTTATCAAACGAGTTTTTTTTTCTTGTTTTCTCTAAATATCAAAATAAAAACGAAAAACGAAAAACATAAACGTTACCAAACGTAGATACATGTTTGATGATTTTTCTCTACTTAACTTTATATGTTTGATGCTATTTTCATAATTATTGTAATTTTTTATCCTATTTATTAGTATTTGTAATTATTTTTATTTTTTTATTATATTTACCGGTCCGACCAGTGACCCAACGGTTGAACCAATGACCTATTGACTTGGTCTCTTTGTAGGGTTGATGTCCGGGCCGGGTTTTAAAACTATGATAAATGCTGACCACCTGTGTTTCCCAACCTCAAGTAGGGGTGTCCATAGGCTAGGCCCGCAAAATTTTTCTCGGGTTGGGTTTTGGTAGTGTAGGACCAAACTTTTACCTAAGTGAGTTGTCGGGCAGGCGAGACTGGGGTTCGGGTAGGGGTAAGCTACCCGCAGTCCAACTGACGGACTTTTTTATATAAAATTTCATTTAAAAATAATGAATATTTTTGTTACTTAATATTTGTGTAAATTATATTTTTGAATCAAAAGTAGAATAAAAATAAAATAATGAATAATTTTATTTTTGATTAGGGGATGAATTACATCCAATAAAATGAATAAATCTAAATTAGGTTGACACTTACTCACTTTTCTATCATTTGTATTTGCATTACTCTAACATTTAAAANAAATCTAAATTAGGTTGACACTTACTCACTTTTCTATCATTTGTATTTGCATTACTCTAACATTTAAAACTTATATGCTTAATACATGGAAAAAAAAACAATACATTATTTATAGTATCTAAATTTTTAAAATTTCAAATTCTGACATTGAAAGACTTATTTCAAAGTTTCAAATTTAATGGTTTAAAAGTATAACTTTTTTTTCAAAGGAAGGGTGAGCGGGTTGTGTGGGTGGGCGGACTCTTGGTTAGGGTTTTAACCGGGTTTTTCAGGCGAGCCATTGGGCCAGGTTTCAGGCTAGGTAATGGGTTTGGGGGCAAACTCAAATCCTCTTTTTAATGATATATTGGGCTCGGGCTCGGGCAGGTCAACTATTGGGTTTCAGGTCTTATGTTGGGCCGAATAATGGGACCCATGGGTAACTTGGGCTATGGACACCTCCAACCTCAAGGGGACATGGTGTAATATTGCGTACTTGAGGGGTCTGAGATATGGGGAGGAGGAAATTTTCAGAAGAAGGGGACTACCGATAATTTTCAAAAAGACAAAGGGATGTGAGTATAATAAAAGATTGTTTGAGCACAAAAACCAGAAGATACCCAGTAAACCGATCAACTCGGAGGGTTTTATATAAACCGGTCGGATCAATTGAAATGTTATAAAATTCAGTGTTTTGGCCCTTTTGGGCAATTTTTGCCCTAAATCGATTTCTGCCTTTCTCTGATTTGTGCCTCTTGCAAACGTCTGAGGTTCGACGACCTCCTCACTCCTCAATCTCTCTGTTTGCGCTGCGTCAAAGTCGAAGTGAAACAGTCGAGTTGAGGCAGGAGGTACTCACTCAGAGGCTAGAGTTTCAAGTGAGACACATCACACAACACGCATTTCCATCCATTTACATGAAATCTGCAATTTGATTCCAATTATGTCAAATTTTATTGCCTAAACTTGATATTTTTTTTTTGCAATAGTTCACAATGAGCTTATTTTCCTTAATTACTACGTGTGCTCAGTGTTATAAGCATAATTTCTACTTAGTTCTTTAATTTATAACCTATTTGTGGTTATACATATATAGAGTGTAACATAATATAGTAATATACCCACTGTATTTCAGAGATAGTAGTCAATTCTTTAAGGTTAAAGTTGAAGGCTATGCTATAAACTATTTCACCATTGATCACATTATCAATTTCAAAAATTATGCAATTAATTAAGAGGAGATTGTTTGATCAATTAAGCAGCTTAGGGAATTTTTTTTTAATGGTTGCAGGTTGAGCTTGGGCAAATTAACTAATTGAGTAAATTATGGTGGTCTTGAGCTTTCATAGGGGTATTTTTATTTACTTAACTTACAAGTTATATTGGAAATTGAATGCATTGAATACATGTTTGCTGATTTTGGGATTTTTGTTTGATCTAATATACATTAAGCATGTTATTTTCATAATTATTGTGATTTTTTAGCCTATTTATTATCATGACTAATTATTTTTTTTTATTTTTATTATATTACTTGTCCGACTAGTGACCCGGTCTCTTTTTCGGGTTGAGTGACCTGATCTCTTTTTTGGGTTAATGTCCGGGTCGGGTTTTAAAACTACGGTGACTAGTCCAAGGAAGAAAGAAACTACCCCTCGGTTTCTCTTGCTCTCCTTTGTGCGTGAAATGTTGAACCAAGAACGATGAGAAGAATATTTAGCAGGGGAGACGTTTGGGTCCGAATTTCAAAGCGGTTCAGGCGAGTCCCAAACAGACCCTTTTCTACCACCAACAGCAAGAAACCCAGCACGACCCACAAAAACAATGGTAGTGACAAGGTTGATGATGGGTCGTCTTCTTCTTCTTTGAGCAAGTACGAAGCATATAAAGACCTGGACAACCTTAATTTCATGACTGCTGCTAAGATCCTATTCTCAGAACCTGCTAAGAAGAAAAAGTTCGGGTATATGACTTCTTTTTTTTTTGTTGCGCATTGATTTGCTGTTTCTTATTTACCTTCTCATTTGCATTTTGTCAAACAGGTTGCTTTAATTGGTATATGCTACTCCATGATTTGTCATAGATAGTGGTTTATCTCAGTGACACCAATATAGCTGTGGTTGTGAAGTAAGTGTGCGTTTGTATGTGCATTTGTATAAGGGTTTGTTTGTGAGTTTTTGTGGGGTGTAGCTTTGTGTGTGCAAATGTGCGCAATATCGCATCTTGTCACTGTATGTTATAACTGAGGCTAAACTACTGATTGAACCATGATATATTCCTTCCTGGGCTTAATAATAGTCAGGTGGTCGACACATTGAGGTTTTGTACAAAGTCGTATTCTTAAGCAAAGTTCAAGTGCAAAACAGTGAAATGAAATGTTTGGTCTTAATGCAAAAAAATACCAAAGGTAATACAATTTTAAGCAATTCATTCTCTAGTGTGCATATACAATGAGGGAAATGGGTACTAGTGTGAGACTGATTTCCAGGTTCAAGTACTAGAGATCTATCTGATTGATATCACATGGTAATTGAAATAGCAAGAGACACCTTTTAAGCCAGTGGTTTTAAAAAATTCTTAGAATTCTTGAACAATGAAATCTGTAAATAGCGAAGATGTGGAGCTATAAATGTTGTAAGATAGTTACCGAAGATACATCCTATCTAATAGTTTTTCGTAGTGAGGATCAGGTAGATGTTTATGGCACATTTGAATGGGACGGCAAGAAACCATCCCTAAATCTTGGGCAGCTCTTCACGTTACTGTGAATGAACGATTCAAACCCATGCCTGAAATGAAAGGCTACATTCTTTATTGTTTTAGTTCTGCCCTCTTTCTACCTTGTGTGGACTAGCCATTGGCATGAGTGGAGTTTTACCACTTTATTGGAATGGGTATACACAGACACTTGAAACGGCATGGANGTTTTAGTTCTGCCCTCTTTCTACCTTGTGTGGACTAGCCATTGGCATGAGTGGAGTTTTACCACTTTATTGGAATGGGTATACACAGACACTTTACAATCTCTTCATCAGAATGCATGTTTTTAAGTTGTGAGCACCTACATCACAGTCCCATTGCCTATGATTTTCCCCTTTTAAATAAACTATTCATTGGTTCTTTTTGCTATGTTAAATGCATATTTTTTGGCTTCAGGTGGGTGTCAGAATTGTCCAATCCCCTTCGGTTTGGTAAGCGCAACATCAGTTTGATCTAGTGTCTCTAGCAACGGCACATCCATGTTTTGAATTATTTATTTAATTAAAGACTATCAGGGAAATTTTTTAGAGAACTTCAGGCAAACTGGCAATTTGAAGAAGTTTTTACGTCGTTATATTTATTTATTTGTTTCTCGATTTTGTTTTTACTTTCACTAAAACAGCCTTACTGCACGTGGGGTAAGACTACTTACATCTATCCCTCCCCGGATCCTCGGGATTCATGTTTTGGGTTGCCCTTTTCTAGATGGGTGGTGTGATTAGGCTTATTGTGTGCATATTAGGCATCAGGCATGGTGGCACAGGCCTCATGTTTAAAGTACCTTCTTGGTAATAACATGACAGACGTTTAAGATTGTTTTTCAATCAAAATGTGTAATTGAGTGGCTATTCTTTGTATACAGTTTTGTTCTTCGGCATCGTTGTTTCAGCTGTTGGAACTTAATTTTTACATGCCTTTGTTTCATGATCAGGATTGATTTCCATCTGGTACAACTCTTCTTTGCCTGCTTGCCTTCATTGGGTATCTCTACTTACAAGTTGATAGTAGTTTATATTTTATGTTTGAGATGCCTTTTGGTTGATGCTGCTATCTAAAGTTCAAATTTTCCTCTAACAGCTGTATATTTGGTGGCTCAATATGCTCGCTACGAAATGAGAAGAATGGAGGCGGTAACCAAATCTTATACTTCCTTTGCTCGTCATAATTTCTTTCTTTCTTTCATATATTTTTCTTCTTCTATTTCCTGTGATCTACCCTTAGCTATGCTTGTATATCAGTTTTAACAAGGACACATTTATGACTCATTCTGCCCTGATTGACAACTTTTAATGCATCTTTTTAAGCTTGTTTTTCATGTTTTGCAACTTATAATGACACAAATTTGTGTCATTTTGAAGAATATTAAGAGTGCAATGCCAATGAAACTGTACCTAAATTAGAATTCAAGCAAATTAGCTATTCTTAATGCCAAAATTGAGTGTCTTTTACATAATATATGAAGGGTAATCTCCACCACCCTATTGTTTATCCTTGTTTGGAATCTCTTTGGGAAAGATAATCGGAAGCATACTCCAAAATAGGGCGAAAGGTCCTGATTATACTCACTATTTCTTGAAGTCATCATTATAGATTTTATGTCAGATAATTCAGTTTGCAGTAACCTGGTTAGTGTAAGAACTTTATCGAACATACAATCACCATGAGGACATGTAATGACATGAAGAACACCTTTTGTGATTTTGCTCTTTTTTCAATCACGTGAGCAAAGCAATTAAAATGATATTGAGAGGTTAGTCCTTTTTTATAAATGGTTTATTGTCATGTGTGTATCATATTCAGGCGTGGGTAAATGTTTGACTGACTGTGTTGCAATGACTGTCTTTTAGTTTGTATTCTCTGCACTGAGTATGGCTGTCTTGAAATGCTATATTAAATGAAGTCATTCAATTTCGTTTCAATGGGATGCCAATCATGCATACTGTTTCGTATATATGACTATAGCTCTTTGGAACACATTGATACGTCAAACCTATGGCATCAAGGATAGGATAGAAATATTTTAATTCTTCCTTTCGTTGGCATGTTTGATTGTCTTGTCCCCAAAATCCCCATCCCAGGAATTGGAGCTGAAAAAGAAAGCTGAAGAAGAGGCAAAGGCAAAAGAGATGGAATTAAAAGATGTTGAAGAAAAAGAAGCAGCAGGATCTGATCCAGAGCTTTTGGAAGTAAAAGAAAGGCTAGGTAAATTGGAGGAAGCTGTAAAGGAAATTGTGATTGAATCAAAGGCGCAATTGGGGAGGACCAGAAGCAAATATCAGGATGATGGTGGTGTGAAAAAGCAACCAGCGACAACTGCACAGGGAGACACTAAAAGTAGATCAGACGCAAGCAGTTCAGCAGATGAAGGCCACCTTAGTGAACAAACATCTGCAGGAAGAACAACGGTCAAAGTTCAACGGGAACCAAGTGGATTAGCACCAGTTACTGATTCTTCCCTGCGGGATGAGAAGAGGGACCCAAAATGAAGGGCCTGCTCAAGCTGGGCAGAAATGAACTGTGGCATCTGTAGTGCCTGCAAGCAACATTCTTTTTCAGAACATTGAAAAGTCGATCGAATTCATATAGAGGATGCAACAGGGACATGGGGACATCCTTAGAACCCAGCAGAAGATAAGTCATGTTTGTTAGACAAGTGTACGAGGCTCAAAAATTGCTGATGGGGACATCTATGCATGGCTTGTTGAATTGTTATCATGTTGGGGCTTTCTTTGCAAGCACTATGTAAGAGAAACTTCAGATTGGTGGAGCTTCTATTTTGTTTGTCATTTTCATGGGAGCACAATATGAATGCAAGGCCAAGGCTTTGATTCTGTGAACATAAGCAGATGGATACGTTAAAAACCTTCTTTACAGTGTCTTTTATGATATGAAATTCTCCTGTGTACCCTCTTTTATGAACTTATCTGTTATTTAAAATAAAAAATAAAAAAATTAAGGGTATCGTCATAAAAATTTACTTTCTCCACTTGGTCATACTATTTCTTTCATCAACGCCACTCTACTCAATTAACTCAACTCGACTCGGGTCTACTTGATCCAAATAAATGGTGACCGGATATGAACCATTTCCCAAAGTAGCTGAATTGGGCTTGACTTAATTCAATCACTCTCTCCTTTTATCTTATTATTTTTATAATTTGATTATTTTTTTGGTTAAGAGCGACTAGGGGTACAACTTCTCTGCTGTGAGAAAAAATAGCACAGTATTTTGTTAATTAAAATGCGGATGTTTGAGTTAGTTTTGCATAGGATAACAAATTCCCCAAAACAAGTGTTGAAAGTCTTTACTAAGATTCTGAGGTGCGGATCAAAGGGGAGGTTCCCTCTCTAAAACATGAAGGCTTCTCTCTCTAAAAAGGTTTTCCGTCTAGTCTCAGGTGAGTCTGTTGGTCATTATGTCTTTTACTCCGTTGTGTCGCTACCAGAGAATTCATCCTCCTCCATCTTCACTACATTTTATTCGATTTCTCGATTGTATCAACTACCAATCACCAATATCTGTAGAAATGGGGTTTCAATTCCTTCTTATTTGGAGTCCCATTAAAGCAAAAAGGAACAAAGTATAAAATCAAGCTTCATGGTCAATAATTGGGAAGTTCAGGTGTTGAAGCAGATGGAGAAAGGGCTTAACAGACACTGATGAATTGGATTTCAGTGATAACCCATGTTGCATCCAAATTCATGATCTTACTGTTTGTAGTTTGACAGTCAGTGAAAATTATCCCTCCGTTTAAATTTATATGTATGTTTAATATCAATAAATGACGAATTTAGACCCAAAAGAGAAGTCTTTTCTCTGCACTCCATTGCACAATCTCTGTGCACACTCAAGACCCATGATTTTGTCTATTTCTCTCTGTTAAATTTTACTACAAATTTCTGGATAAAATCAAAATGGTGGGTGCCAAAGGTCTTATGATTGTCACAAGAAAGATTTTGAAGGAGCTTATTGCAGAGAATGAAGACGGTGGACATTACGATTGGAGCAAAACCTTACAGGGAGAAAGAAGAAAAGTGGATGGGCACAGTGAAGGGATTGTAGGAACTGGAAGTAACTCAGTCAGCGAGGTAGGAAAGGAGATTGTCGAGACCCGGATGAAAGCAAAGAGTGTTTAAGAACAGAGTGTCATCATTTTACTTTAAATAAATGAAACGTTGCCATTTCATTTTACAGCACAACGTGCTATTTTTTTGCTAACAACAGACGAGCCAGACCCGTACTACTACTACACATAATAACTCCTTAGGATGTTATCTTTAAAGTTCTCCCAATTATAAAATATTGGTTTGGGCCATAGAAATGAAGGAGTCTGTCATCTCAAAGGAACATTAGAGTTAATTATACTCAATCTACTCGATCCAAATAAATGGTGACGGGCGACGAACCATTCCCCAAAATAGCTGAATTAGTCTTGACTGAATTCAATCACTCCCTCAGGAATCCACCCGTTTGGGCGATAGTTACCAGCCTGAATAATCGAACCTGTCATCACAACACGACTACGAGCAAGTTGAAATTAATTTAAAATTAAGATGTCCCAAGTTCTCACTTTCACCCTCTTTTCTGTCTTTTGGTCTACCGGTACACTCTCAATTTGGCCGTTGCTATAAATTATAAACACTCCTTCCTTAAACCCTACCACTACCACTACCACTACCACAGCCACTATCACTGCTCTGCAACTATTTTTTTCTCATATTCCATCAAATTAGAAGTCATCAATGTCAATGGCCTATCGTCTAATCCGACCCTTACGAAGAATTACAACAGAAACACTTGCCTCTCCTCTCTCTTCCTTTTCTATTTCCAAAACCCTAACTGCAATTCAGCCACAGCTTCAACAAACAAGAAGAAGTTATGTATCAGAGATGAGGAAGTCAGCATTCGAAGGCAACATCATCAGACTACTGCGAAACGAGATCCAGTACGAACTCGATCGTTCTCCTCCCTCTCAGGTAACATTTTTTCTTTGTGCTTCTCTGCGTGTCTTGTACAATTGTTCTCTTGTTCGTTTCCTTAGGAATCTGAAGCAATTTCCTGAGAAAAGGTAAAGGGTTGGTTTGCTTTCTGAGAAAATTCAATCTTGTAATTGTTTTTCTTTTGTTATTCACGGGTCCTGGAAAACACAAGCCTCCATCAATTGCGCCCAACACTTGAATTAGAGATAAATGAACCTAAAACATCGAATCTACTGCCAAACAGAAATGCAAAATGTAGGAAAAGGAATATATATATTAGTAAAAATACGTATTTCTAGTTGACCTGATTTTTCATTATGAATCAACCCAAAAGAAAAAAAATGAGAGAGAAATGTAGGAATTGAAAATCTTTAGTGTGAAGGTTGAAGAGGTGTAGGAATTGAAAATCTTTAGCGTGAAGGTTGTAGAGGATAAGGGTCCTTGGTTGATGGCNTTAGTGTGAAGGTTGAAGAGGTGTAGGAATTGAAAATCTTTAGCGTGAAGGTTGTAGAGGATAAGGGTCCTTGGTTGATGGCATGATGCCTTGGGAGGGAAATTCCAGCTCCAACTAGAAGAAGAAGCAAGTTGAGCTTTACTTTGTTAAATAAAGTAAATTAAATTGCATCTGAAATGTTTAAATATAAAAAAGATGATGCAAAATGAATTAGTCGGAATGTATTATGGAATAACCGTTTTAAACTGGCCTTTAGTTCTCTACAAATGGTGATATCTCTTGCACAAATGAACTTTATGGTTATCTGATCGCTATTTTTTTGGGAAAGCTGTTCTGATATCAATTGGGTTATATTGGCGATTGTTGGGGTTTTGATATGGTTATGCACTTAAATTTCAGCTTGTCCCTGAATTCAATTTGTTTACGGTTGATGAACGGCCTGGAGAGCAGTGGATTAGATTGACAAGGAAATTTGGAGAGAATGAAGAGATCAAAGTTGAAGTAACTATGTTTGATGGGTCCATTCCTGTTCAGAAACCTGGTGGGATTGCCACAGCGCATGATGTGCAGCTTCACATCACGATGATTGTTGATGTGTTTAAGGGGGAAGGCAGTGATGTGTTGGAATTTGTGTGCTCTGCATGGCCGGATAGCATAGAAATTCAGAAAGCTTACATGCGTAAGCATGATCGGATGGCAAGTCAGCCTTACATGGGTCCCGGATTTAAGTATGTATCCTTTATTCTCTACCTTTTATTTGTTTGCTTCATGTTAATAATCAACTCAACTCATCTTAACGAATCGTTCTGCCAATTAATTTGAGTAAAGTTGCTGAGAATGTGAAGAAGTTAACTGAAAGTTTCAAAGCTTAAAAAGTTTCTGTTTGGAAATGTTCCACAAATTGGTTTTCCTATATGCATATTTACTAAAAATGAGGTGCCAGGTTTTTATTTCTGAAAAAAAAATAAAATGTAATGGCGTTATCTTTATTTTGAAAATTAGAGATGTTACAAACCTCAGCATTCCATTTGTAGTATCCATTGGGAAATTTGTACAACAGNAAAAATAAAATGTAATGGCGTTATCTTTATTTTGAAAATTAGAGATGTTACAAACCTCAGCATTCCATTTGTAGTATCCATTGGGAAATTTGTACAACAGTTCTTCTTCATCACTTGGAACCTTTTTGCTATTGACAAATTTAAGTAGCAAGGAGATTTAAGATTTTATAATGTAATATCTCTGTTTTCTCAGCACCTAAACAGAAGGCTTTGTGCTTTAGCTAGACAATGTGGTTTTAAAGGTCCGTATCTTTTGTGTTTGTGATTGGTTCATTTATAGGGAACTTGACGATGAACTGCAGAATTCACTCTATGAATACTTGGAAGCAAGGGGTATAAATGATGAGCTTGCTGTGTTCGTGCATGAATATATGAGNAATATCTCTGTTTTCTCAGCACCTAAACAGAAGGCTTTGTGCTTTAGCTAGACAATGTGGTTTTAAAGGTCCGTATCTTTTGTGTTTGTGATTGGTTCATTTATAGGGAACTTGACGATGAACTGCAGAATTCACTCTATGCATACTTGGAAGCAAGGGGTATAAATGATGAGCTTGCTGTGTTCGTGCATGAATATATGAANCATTGGGAAATTTGTACAACAGTTCTTCTTCATCACTTGGAACCTTTTTGCTATTGACAAATTTAAGTAGCAAGGAGGTTTAAGATTTTATAATGTAATATCTCTGTTTTCTCAGCACCTAAACAGAAGGCTTTGTGCTTTAGCTAGACAATGTGGTTTTAAAGGTCCGTATCTTTTGTGTTTGTGATTGGTTCATTTATAGGGAACTTGACGATGAACTGCAGAATTCACTCTATGAATACTTGGAAGCAAGGGGTATAAATGATGAGCTTGCTGTGTTCGTGCATGAATATATGAGGAACAAAGATAAAACCGAGTTTATAAGATGGATGGAAACTGTAAGGTCTTACATAGAAAAGAAATAAATTGTAGAGGGTAGTTCTGCAATTCTTTAGAAGACATTATTGTATCATACATGCATTGATTTGGAAAGAGTTACACTGGTGCTGCAATATTTTGGCATTCTATTTGAGTTTCACTATGCAGCCAAAGAGATAAATGTATGTTCTAGCTGACTCGAGAATGAAACTGGACTCATTTTGAATGAACTTCGGTGTCTCTACAGGGCAATTCACATCATGNATAAATTGTAGAGGGTAGTTCTGCAATTCTTTAGAAGACATTATTGTATCATACATGCATTGATTTGGAAAGAGTTATACTGGTGCTGCAATATTTTGGCATTCTATTTGAGTTTCACTATGCAGCCAAAGAGATAAATGTATGTTCTAGCTGACTAGAGAATGAAACTGGACTCATTTTGAATGAACTTCGGTGTCTCTACAGGGCAATTCACATCATTTAGGACCATTTTTGTTCTTGTATTGCAAGATAAGAGGCAAGACACAAAATAGGAGGCTGACAATTAAACTAGAATTTTAGTCCGAGCTATGTAATTCGAGTTCAACCCATAACCACTACCCGGGTTGAAGTGTTAAGCTTGGTGCTTTTATAGCTTAGAACGAGTTCTGATTGACCTTTTAACAGTGTGCTAATTGTACAACAGAGGAGGTGTTCTTCAAAACGACGTCGTTTTGGGTATCATTTGAGAAACAATACCTGCTTTTGTACAGCAGAGGAGCCGGACTCGGTGCTAACCACTCAAAGTTACCAATAACGATGACCTATACCATGAAAATGTTTTACACTNAATTGTACAACAGAGGAGGTGTTCTTCAAAACGACGTCGTTTTGGGTATCATTTGAGAAACAACACCTGCTTTTGTACAGCAGAGGAGCCGGACTCAGTGCTAACCACTCAAAGTTACCAATAACGATGACCTATACCATGAAAATGTTTTACACAAGCAGTGTGCTAACCACCATTGCTGTACCTTCAGCAAGTTCATTATCCTATAACTGAATAAGTTCCATCAAGTTATCAACGGCGATGTTCCACCTTCCAATAATTGATTTGGATCTATGTATACAAACATAAACATAAGATGAACATATTTTGTGAGCTCTTTGCATTATATGTAAGGTGGGTCACCATAATTTTCGTGCGTGAATTATGGCCAACTTTGAGTACATCACAAGTGATTTGAAATCTAGATGTGATTCATATGACTTAATGCAAAAAAAAAAACAAAAAAAAATCTTAGAAAGGCTGAGATTTTGATTTTAGCAATGATTGATTGTTAGATTAATAATAGCAAGAGTTACTTTATTTACATTTTTTGGGATGATTGAATGATTAACTTGAAATGTGACAAACATGACTGTAATTTGTACCCATGGGTCCTGTTTGAGGGATTTCTTGACAAGAGATGAATGCATTCATGATTTAAATCACACCATTTTGATTACACTTAGTGCACAAAAATCTCGTCTATAACTTAGTTAAGAGAGCTAAGCGACGAGCAATTTCATCTATGTTAAAAAACTAATTTTTGTCAAATTCGTAAAATCTTAGTTGAATTAACATTTAGAGGGATTTGGAGTTCGGTTTTTAGGTAAAATAGGATTTCAAAAAAAAAAACCCACTCTTCAATTTTCTTTTGAATTAGGTCTCCGTTAAAAAGTCAAAGTAATGGGCATAATTAATGCCTTTTACAATTGTAAAAAATAAAGAAAATGTTATCACTTAATCTAAACACCTATTCTAAAAAGATACGTCATTATAATGTACATTTTTTTTTCATAAACACAAACATAAGACAAATATACTAAAAAAAAAAAGGTACGCAATTAAAAAAAAATATATACTTTTGATCCCAAAAAAAAAAAGGGTACGTAATAAAAAAATATAAAAAAACAGGTACACAATAATTGTTTGAAAGGTATATTAAAATACAAATCGTCAGAGAAGTATACTAAAATACAGATAGTCAGATAAGTGCACTAAAACACAGATCATTAAT